CTTGCCCTCCCAAAGAGAAGCTGATGAAAAAAAAAAAAAATACATATATGAGCTTCAATTCCAATGATTTTTTTCATTACTGTACTCCTAACTTTAGTTTTCTCAAACCCACTGTCAGCATTACTAAATCATTGTGGAATGCATTGCTAAACACCAGCAAACCTGCCTCCATCCCAAAAACTGCTTGAATTCAGCATCACCACATTTAGTCACTCCCATGTAATGCTGGCACTCAGCCKGGGCTGCCCCACACTCAGTGACCACATTTTGCAAAGTGTCAGATCCTTTCTGTTCCCAAAGAGAGCCAGGATCAGCCTCCTGACCTCAACCTCTGCTCTGCCTACCAAGATTTCAATTTTCATTTCTATCCCAGCTGTGAAAATCAGGAGGTTTTAAAAACTATATTGTCAAGCGGTGGAAGAGGATGCCCAGGGAAGGGGCTGAGTCACAGTCCCTGGAGGGATTTAAAGACACAAAAATGTGGCTTTGGGGGCACAATTTGGTGATGGGTTAATTGTTGGATTCCATCATCTGGAAGGTGTTTCCCAAGCTCAGGGATTCCATCATTCCAGAGCAAAGTTGGAGCCACGAGCAAAGGCTGCAGGATGAGGCTCGCAGGCCCAGCATGTCTCAGCAGGCATTGATGTGTCATTACTCTGGAGAAAATTACTTTTGCACCATGTTACAAAACAGTTTTTATGGTATCTCCAATTTCAGATATTTATCAGCCAYGATTTCTTATTTCAGTTCTTTGCAAAGCCTACAGGAGATGTTCTTCCTGTGTGTGAAATGACTTCTGGTTTTTAAAAAATAAGTGTACAATTTACAAGATGTGGAGGGATGAGCTTAAAATACAGTTTGAATTTAAAAAGCAGCTTTTCTAGCCTGAATTGTTGATGACTAAGTGATTACTAAGCTTCCACACATTTTAGTGTACAAGTTATGATGCTTCAAGTTTTTTTTTACAGTTGCTAACTTGTGGTATAACCTTGTTAATGTTATGTTGCTATGTTAATTAATATTATTAGTATAATTACAGCTAATAYAAAGTTCTAATAATGTAAGTCTAGYAGAAACCTATTYTGAGCTCTAGTAAACAATCAGTGCAAATATAAACCACAGACAGACCACATTTTCTTWGCCAGAATCACATCCACAGACTGGAACTGAAAAGATGACAATGGAGTACATAAAACCTAAGTTTTTATTTARGTATCCCAGCATGTATKAATTTTAAGAGGTGATTTATATAGTGTCATTTATTTTCATTCCAGTTTCTGTCATATTCCCTAATCTTTCACTGTTCAGGACAATTTTTCCACCATCACAGAACTTTTTGTTTTAAATGAATGTCAAAAAMGTGAAGTATATTTGCCACTGTTACATCTGCAAAAAAATTGCACGGGCACTAAAGAAAATCTAGAATTTTTATACATATAAATTTTATTGCAATAGTAATYTCATTACAAATTTTGAGAAACTTACTGCACAACTTTGTTGTTCTGTCTTTTGAGTTAGGCATCTTCACTGAAGTATCTTCAGACAAGCACACGACCTTTCCTCTTTTAAAAAAAATTCCAGTTAGAGTAACTCAAAACAACCACTGGCCTGGAAAATAAGTTTTTATCTTTCATTTTCATGTTTACAATAAATATGTTCTTCCTGTGATCCTTTGCAGGTGCACTCAGAAGACACCAGAGCTACTCCCAGGACAGACAGAGGGAGCTGTATCTCCAGTTTTCTCCTTTTCAAAAAGGCACCTATAAACAAGCTGTCGAGTTTAAACTCACAACCATAAAAAAACTAATTTTAAAAAACCCTCCAGCTTGTTTTTCACCATTAYAGCCAATCAAATTAGGCTTGTAAAAGCAACAGGAAGATTATTATTTGCCTAGAGATCAAGGTACAACAAAAAAAGTTTGAGTTTTTATAAATACGGAGATGTCAGTACAGTAAGAAACTTAGGACAATTGACAACTTGATGTTTTTTCAGCTTTGATTTCCTACAGAGAAATATTTGGCCCTTTTTCTGACTGAGTGATGTCATAGTGACACTGAAAAACATGGCATGGCATCAGTGAAAAATGTCAAATAGGAAAGGATCAAATAGCATTAATTTTGAGAAAGTTCTAAGGACAGGTATCACAGTTTGCCAAAATAGAAAAGCCCTTCCTTCTCATTCACCACAGATAAGCTTGAAGAGGATCCAGAAAGGAAAACACGATTGTAACTGCAAAGGAGACAGGGAAAAATACAGAGATCATGTTCAGAAGCATAAATCCCTTCCCACTATTACCTGGGATTATGCAGGAGAAACCAAGCTCTGCATCCATGTACAGACACAGCTTATCCCCAAACAGGCAAAATGGAGCAATCTACAGAAAAAGTAACAGAATATATGAAATATATTTCCTACATGCATATATGAAATTCTTAAAGTTTGACAGCAACCCCATAAATAATTTGTTAAAAAAACTTTTCAACTTTACTGCCTATTTCTTATTTTTTAATTAAACATATTATTGTCCTCTATCGTCTACAGCGATTGGGTGAAGGGGAAGGGAAGAAGTTGTTCTACATTCATCTAAATTATTTGCAAGATTCACTTGTAGCAATGAAGTCTTAATTAATCCACAAAATCCTGCTTTAATTCCAGTATAACTCCAGTGTAAAAAGGCCTCTGCATTTCATTACATTTCTGAAAGACTAATAATTTTAATTTCATATTATTCGAACTTACAGAGAAGTTTTGAGCAAGGGCTTTATGAAAAAATAAATGTATGGCTATAAAGACTGGCTCCCATAATCCACTGAATGCTCTTCATAATCCTGGTGTAAATGGTACTAAACCTACTGAAAGGCTCTTTCTTGRGAAGTTTTGAGGCACAAGAAAATCAGGTCTGAGCCCACTCCTTACTCTTGCTAGAGGTAAAGATGTTAAGCTAAGATGGGCAGCAACAAACTGACTTATGAGTTCATTACTTCTCTGTTTATTCAAATTTGTCTCATTTTTCACCAGTACTTTCGCACACTGATACTCAAAACAGTGAGTCACGCCTGATTATTTACAACAACTAAGTTATTTTAAAATTTAAATTAATCAGATCACCAACAATCTGCGTCTGAGGCTTCTTATTGCCATCCTCCCACCCCTGCACATCACCTTTCCCGAGGGCACAGCTCTCCTCGCTGCTGTTACACCACTCAGGAGCAAAAACTCTCCAATTAATACCACGTCTTCTCCAGCACAGAAAGTAATCTTAGGGCAATTCTATGAATCATTAATAATCACAGAAATGCTACTCTAGAAAGCAGAATGCAGAACATCTGATACACCACTCGCTGCTGGAAGAGGCACTTTCTAATGGTGTTCATTGAAATCAGCATTTTCCCATTCGGACTCTGTTAGGAATCCTCTCCATCCAAATATCTCCATCCATCTGTACCAAAACCTGAGATTATTTCCAAGCCCAGTGGTAATCTTGGCAGTTGTGACTAGAAAAGACCACTGATAAAATACTCAACTGCGAAAGTTAAAAAAAAAACCAACAAAACAAAACTGAAGAAATATTAATTTCTTATATTACTTGCGTTCTCAAGCAATGATTATTTTTCTTTAGGAAGCAATAGGGAAGTAATAATTGTCAGTAGGCCCTCATGGGCTATAAATGCAGACAATTGTAAATACTGTAAAATTACATTTTTTAAAAGTACTGTATTTTCATGATAAATACTTTAGTCAGAGAATAAGTGTATCTAATTTTCAAATCATTATTCTGTGCACATTTCTTCSCCAGGCAGGTACTTCTGACAGCACACCAACCTCTTACATTCACTTGGGTTAACTAAATCCTATTATCTAGTAATTTCAACAGAAAATATGCATACAAATAGTCTTACAGGGGTTTATCATTTTTTACAATTTTCCACACTTCTACAGCACTAACATGAAAAGCTGTGATATCATTTCTGAAATACTAATGCTATAACTGGATGGAAGCATGTCCTGAACAATGCAGAGCATGGCACCACAACTCTTTCAAGCCTATGTTGGAAGGCACAACTTTTCAAATCTACAATTGAAATAACGTTTCAGTATGAAACCTTGGCTAAAAATAACCTTGGCTATTTATATTTAATGCTTGCATGAAAAAAAAAATCGTCTATTTAGGGTACAGCCTGTTGTCTCAAAGATGACAAGAGTAAGTAATACCATTTGAAGTGGAATGTTTTATTTAAATAGCATGCATAATGAAGCCAGGGGAAAAATATTGAAATTTCAGAAAAGAATKAAATGCCCATCACCATCTGACTTTTATTCCAGATTAGTGATAAATATTATCATCTGTACCTAAGAATACATTATAGGACTTACCTTAACCAAGGAATAAAATATCCAGCTATTTCAATATTTTGTATATCACAGAGAGTGAACCTAAATATCAACTTGTTTGTGTCAATATGACCCAAAAAAAACACTGTGAAGGAATCATTTACATCAACACAAAGAGGATGCTTGATGCAAATCAGCTCCAGAATGATCCAGTCACTCCTTTATTCTATCAACCAAGTTTCAGACATCACAAATGAAATCCTGSTACCAATTTGATTGTCTAAATTAARCCTTTTTTTTCCTGAAGAGATGAGTCAGAGGTCAAAGAAGTTGAAATTTATACTATTTTCCATTCATTTTTACCGTATAAAACAAGCAAACCTGTGGTCTTTTAAGATAAAATATAAACCTAAAACCAAATTACATTAACAAAAAAAAGATTATGTTACATCTTCTACAACGTAGTCTAGTACCCAAACAGAAAGCTAGTGTTAAGAGTGGGCCTTTTCTTAAATAATTTAATACTTACCTTTTAAAAGTTGTAGTAGATCTGTGCACAGAAGACAYGGCTGCAGGAGGAAATTCAGATGATTAAGGATGAATCTATTTTATTTTAGTGTCCAAGTGCCAACAGTGGTCTTTTAAGAGCCCTTTTTACCCCCATGATATATTTATTATTTAGAATTATCAATCATTAAACAACCAGGTGACCCCTCAGAAATAAATACCTATTTAAAAAAAGGCAAGAGTCCATTTACATATTCCTCAATAATTCACTGATGTAATTTTATTTAACTAGCACTTGTCCCAWAGGCATTCATGCAACAAGTTAGTTGGGATACAGAGACATGTATATCATGAATTCTTAGGTTAGTTTAAACTTACTCTAGACTAAACCAGAAATCCAACTCCATAAAAATATATTGGTCTCAATTAGTTATTAAATTTAGACTGTTAATGTCAGGATTTGGAAATTAATCTAAAGGGAATACTACAAAATAMATCAAGCCTGCAATTTTTATAAACTTGGTGTTTGATGCTCTTTTGAAAAAAGGATTTCTTTTTTGTATAATTAGTGACACCCACTTACATGCATTTATTTTGCATTTTCATGCTTTATACTACTTTCTAAGTCAAAAGAAGCACAAAGGTAAGAAATGTTTTCTAATGTTCTTTATTTTCTTTTTTATGTTTGATACTACCTGTCCAGTTAGCCTTCTGGGAAACACAACTTAAGGAAATTATACAATCATGTAATCAAATATTTTGGTTTAGGCTTTAATAGCAGCTCTTAGCTTGGCCGACCTTCCTCTTGGGTTCATTTGAATATCCTTGGCCTGGGGTGTGAGAACTTTTTTCTGTATAAAAATCCACCTTGAGTTGGATTTTCCACAGGGAGATTCTTGCTTRTCTTCTCCTTTGGAGGAATTTTTCCGAGCCTGTCTTATCTTCTGCTTGGAGCTGAGGTTGTGCTTTTCCGTCATGTCAATCCCGCGAAGGAAACGTTTGATGATGCGATCTTCCAGAGAGTGAAAGGACAGGGCCACGAGGCGACCTCCAGGTTTGAGAAACTTCTCAGCTGTCTTCAGTCCTATCAAGAGTTCATGGAGCTCATCATTCACAAATATTCTCAGGCCTTGAAAAGTTTTGGTAGCAACGTGGGCGGGTCTTTGGAGCAGATCCTTCCGGGCGTAGAGCGCTGATGCTGGAAAAGCACCTGCCACACATGTCAAAAATGTTAAAAACTCATTATTACATGTTCAAAACTGATTATCACATGTTTAAAACTGATTAGCACATGTTTAAAATTGATTATTACACGTTAATAGCTATTTTTTTTCTGCACCTTGACATCCACTCATGCAAATGACTTTAAAGGAAAGCAGAGTCAAAACTGAACCTGGAGTAGTGAGCTTCTTTCTTTCTAATATAACTTTATTTTATGCTTTGAATTCACATCTCTGAATGCAAACTCCATCAAGCTGAGATGGTTTGTGCTTAAGTGTTGGGTTTTTTTCCCTAGAATCATTTAGAGAAATTGCGTCTCTGAAAGCATCACAAATTTAAACTACAARATAATGGCTGAAACYRAGATAAGGAAAAAAAAGACAGGATWGATAAGTCTCACCTTACAGCTCAGTGTAATCAATGTCAGTTCAGTATTTGTGGTTGTGTTATGATTTTAAGGAAATAAATTAATATACAACTTTATGTGGCACCTTCCAGATAATTGCATTTCTTCACAGGCAGAGATAACAAAAGATAATATCTACCTGATAATAACTATATTTCAATTAATTCCTTGAGGTTTAAATGAGGCATCCCTGCTTGGGAATACTACTTGTTGAACACTACATTTGTGTTTCTTCAAATGTTCACAAAAATACCTCGAGAAATGTAGAAAATGCAGCTGATAAGTAGTGTTTCACGTCTATACAGTAGAGTGTGTCAAGGTATGGGTTTGTCAGACCAAAAATCATCAGATTAATTTTTTTTGTCAGATTCACAAACAATAATCACTATTTAATATAACACAATTAATACATCAATATTWAATGTCTTTTAGGCTTGAATTTTCATTACACCAGTGCAGAGCAAAAAGCTAGGGAAGCCTGAYTTGATGGATCAGAGGGACTAAAGTGCAAGAATCCTGTAAGATCTATGAAACCTGAGTAAATTTATAATCTATTATGTGAGTGCAGGAGTCTGGTGAAGATAAATTGAATGAATAATGCTGGCACATAACTGGAAGAATTATTTTTCTAAACAAGGGGGACCACTAGAGATAAGGCAATACAATTTATATATATATATATAAATGCCCTAATTTCATGTCAGTGCTAAGCTACAACATAATGAAGCCAACAGCTTGAAGTAAATGCAGTTCTTAATCAAGTAATTGCTATTCTACACAGTGAAGTAAAAGACGGGAATATTGTACCTCTGCAACTAGTTGTCTAAATTAATATTTACATAGGTGATTGGAAAAAGTTAATGGAGATATCATTATCCATAATATGTTTGCCCAGAATAATTTATTAGTGGAATCCTTGAGAGTTTTAAAGGTAGGATTTTACCTATGTCAAAAAGCATAAGTGCTCACAAAGCACTCACAAACACAAGCAATCTCAATGCTCAGCAAAGGCAGAGGATAAAAATGGGATTTAAAGACTGAATCATTWTAAAAAAAGCTGTTACCATGTATGCTATGTACCTAAGACATGCTTCTGCATAATTGATTTTCCTAACTACCTTCCCCACCTCATCTGATCCCCAAAGTTCCTAAATTCACTGAGGACACCCATGGAAGCTGTGGCTGTTTCCTGTTCTTACAGTCGGAATCCTTGGAGCCAGGAAGTGGCAAAAGGATCGACTTCTCCCAACAAACTGCATGAGAATTTGTGGCTTGAAGCTGTCTCAAACAAAACAAGAGTAAATAGATGTAACCTGCAGGAGCTGGGCTTCTCCATCATTTACAAACTGGAGAAAAAGTCACACTAGCTAGTAAATATAACTTCTGTCCTTGAGAACATAACCTTCTCTATTTACTGTGAATCATAAAAATAATATATACTCTCACCGTAGGAGTCACAAAGCTCATTTTGATGAGAAACCTTAATTAAAAAGAGAACTAAAAATCACAGAAGATGAGGCATCCCAAGAAACCCACACCAAACTTGTACTAACTGGCACAATATCTTTTTCCATAGTTTTTAYACACCTATAAAGAGATTCTTGGAAGATGGAACCCTCAGAACAGCCACTGACTGCCAGTTTTGTGTGATGAAAACTGCCTCTAAATGCGTAACACAAAGGATTGTTGTGCTAAGCAAAATATTTCTTTAAAGGGTCAACAGCTACAAACTAGCAGAATGCTCAGAACTCTTGAATGAATTAGATTAGAAGACATTAGGAGAAATAAATTAGAAGAAATTAGAAGAAATTAGAAGAAATTAGAAGAAAATAATTTCCATATTCAACTTCACAAGGTTTTGTAAAAATGGAAATGGACATAGTGTGATGGTATCTGGGCAGATTCCCATTGGTCTGATCATGAACACTGATATTTTGCAACTGCAATACCGAATAGATAAATAAATTATTTATCTATACTAAATACTAAACTTCTAGTTTAGTTAAATGAATAGATAGATGATGATACTGAGCACACACAAAGAGCATTGCAAGTCCTATAATAAAGTACAGAACATTAATATTCAGGAAATTGGTAAAGGAATGCAGCCACTTTGCAGTTTTATGCAACCAAAACCCCCTAAACTAAAAACAAAATCAAACTGTTTACATGGATTTAAATCAAAGATTTACTGGTCTATTTTCAAAGACTGGGATYAACTAATAAATGTAATTTCTGGCAGTTATTTCTGTCACACTGGCCTTCATCTTTTCAGTAAAGGCCATAGATTCTGATCTATGCTCCTTGGGTAAAAAATTCYCCTATCACTCTTACTTCTCTACTTAAGTTAAATAAAAATCTATTTGTGCTTTCTACTAAGGCACATCATCTCTCACCCAGGCCCCTCCAACTACCAAGACTCTAAAAGAAAATAATTCCTGGTAAGTGGCTGTTCAGTGTACAAAAACATTAAAAAAAAATCTGTATGTGAAGTTTGTAAAATGAATTTCATTCATAAAAACACCACGCTGCTGGCTAGATGACTGCTTTGAAATCCCAGTGAGAGRAATTATCATTTTTAGTTTTAGGATGCCCCGATGATACTTACACTTTTAAAAATCTAATAGGTTCACACGTTGAAATGTATTGAAATTTTAAAAGCTTGTGAATGAAATTAGCGACGTGCTGTGCCTGTCAATATGAACTATTAAAGTCCCCAGAGTGTATGAGAGTGGGAGAGTTTAAAAATTAATTCAGATCGTGCACCTGTTTGCAGGAATTCGTCTGTTGAATTAGCACTGCATTTAATAAGTTTCTGTGACGCAGCAAATGTCCTTTTGTCTGGGCTCCCTCAGTACAGTGTTAATTCTCACCCATCTGAAATTCAGGCAATATTACAAAGTCCAAACCGATAATTAAAGTCTATATAAGTGAACCAGTTGGAATGGAATTGACTTCACCCATTAAAGTTCTTTTTTAAACTTTTAAAATTTCTTTAACATGTCACCATTAACTCCTTTCAAGTTGAGGCCAAACGATTACATGATCTCAAAATTGTCTGTTAACAGATTATATATCTAAATAATGCTCAGGAAAAATAAATTTTTAACAAAAATTAATAGATAAAGTATATTGCCCACTGGAAGGAAATCAAAATAGATCATTAGTTGTACTGGAAAAGCATATTACRTTCTAAAAATTTCATCATTTTTAACCAGTTTTCCTGTACATGCAGTTAGAATTTCAGCAATATAATTTCATGACAGCTGATGAATGAATCAAAATAYATCACAATTACCAAAATAATTTCTTAAGTTTTTCTTAATCAGTTCAAAGCCCAATGGGATCCACCACAGTGYTTCTTTACTGGATGAATCAAACTAAAATTGGAAGAAGTCCTATGCAAACAGGGATCAGTGTAACAGCTCTAAAATTGTTCTAACTACTTGTGTATTCCAAAAAAAGCTCTCAAAACATACAGATTTATTGTCTTGGCAGATGTGTGCTGGATTCATTGCTTTTGGCATGTGYACTACCTGATGCATACCTGACTCATGTATCAAGAAGCTCTTTGAATACAGCAGAGAATTCMAAGTGAGAACAAAAAATCCTTCTCATTGTCACAGAAAGCGACCATTAACTGATGACTCAACGCAGCACATTAAACATGAAAGGATCTTCAGTCTCTGTCTTTTATACACAAGTATTTTTATTTTCTTAGTTAAAGCTGTGGCACAAAATTACTTCAGAATTGCTGAGTTGGTTGTATAAAACACATAACATGTTGAACATCTTTAACACAGTGATATGGTTGCTTCAATCCATCGCTTTTCAAAAAGCATGGGATATATATGACAAAGCCCAAAATCACCATTTCAGGACTTTGTTAATGACAATATTAAAAATGAAAGGTTTGTAAAAGACTCATAGTGCCTTATCTCTTTGATTTCTTTTCTTTCATTTTGTTTGCTCCTGATATATTCACTATATTTACAGCAGGGGCTTACAACAGCAGTGTCTTCAGGTCCTTTCATCACATCAGCTAAACTTTGGGCCTTGGCTCACTGGACATTTTGCTAAAGATGTTTCTACATATTCAAACCTTTTCATTTCTCCATCATTAAAATTAAGGGCCTTAGACTTCCAGTTTAGGTAATACAAATTTTTAAGAATGCTGCAATTTTTTTAAGGATACTGATAAAATATTTTACTCTGTTCTTTAGCAAATGTTAAATTTGGATTAGAATTTTAAAGGTCTATGTTTGAAGTCAGCAGTTTAGACTTATTAATGATGATATTTAGTGATCTTCATTATTTGGTTAAAAAAATAAAACCATCCTGACACTACGCATTAGAGTGTTAACGAATAGGATGTGTGTGTTATATTTTTCCTTGAAAATTTTTACTTGAGAACACAAACACAAAGGTTCTTGATGTAAGCAGTGCTCCTGCCTAACTGCATTTTGCTCAAGCTGTTTACAGTGAGGAGCAGGGAAGATGAAGTGTTTCCACAGTGGCTTCAGGCTGATTTGGGCATGCGCAAGGTGAAGCCAGCTTTGTGTYTCCTGATTCTTTAAAGAGACAGAAATCACCTGATTTCACTCAGAACTGGAAACTACCRTGGCACCTCCCCTACAAATATTAAAATACAGAAATTTAAAACTGAGGGRGATATGACATATCTGGTGTTTGAAGGATAAAGAACAGCCAGGGCTGCTGTCACTCTGTGGCTCAACACGGTCGACAAAATGATAAATCACTTCATATAAAATCTATTATTAAACTAATTGTCAAACTACGTGCTTAAAAAAAAAAAAAAGGAAAAATAGGGCTGACATCAGAGCAGAACAGGCAGGATTAGACCCTGCACGATTTCAACTACAAATAGATCCCTCTGGGACTTTGGGGATTAATTTATTTCCCTTCTCCTCCACGGCAAGCCGCCGCGACGGATTTAACGAGGGTATACCTGCAACGATGCTGGCGAGCTGCTGGGTTCTGGTGATGGGGTACACGCTGCGTGCCTGCACGATGGCCCAGGCGATTTTCCTGGCGTGCCTCTCCTCCCCATACGCCCGGAGGATGGACGCAAGAGCCCGTTGATCCAAAGCGTTGACAACGTCGGCGGCGGTGGGCAGCTCGGGGTACCTACGCACGAGAGAAGCCAATTAGCCAATCTGACGTCAGATTGCCTTGATGAGAAGAGGTGAAGCTTGGTGCTGCTGCCTTTGAGGTTTTCAGGTGGGAGGTGGCAGCCTTTTAAATGCTTCTCCTGGCTGGGTAGAGTGGGGTTTGCTCCTTAGCTTTGATTAGAGAACTTCCAGGTATTATCATAAAGGTGGCGGGAATAAATGTATTCCAGTATCGTGCCAGGATGGAAATTATGTGTGACCTTTCTATTCAGCCAGCTTCAGAATATTAACTTGCCTCTTATGGGTTCATTTCAGCCACCTTGCATCATAAGCTGTTTGCTAGTCAGAACTGATTTAAAGGATCTTTTCTTTCACATCTCCTGCCATGAAAACAATTGCCTATGTTAATAATGCTAACAATTAAACACTGCTTTTTGCCAAAAGTCATAAGAATTTATACATAAATACTTATAATTTCTATATCTATTATATAATTTATAGATAAATACTGTTCTAAGACAATAGAAATGAGCTAGTAATACAAATTASAGGAATTACTACAATTTAAACAGTGTAAGCCTTAAATCTATATATCTAAATCTCTGCCACTTTGCTGCTGGAATAGTCCAAGGTATTTTATGAACATCACCTRCAGGTTTACTAATCAGAGAAAACATGCAAACTACTTAATAAATCYTCTCCTAAATTCTCTTCTTCTCTTTCAGGCATTTTTTTACTCCCCTGCAGTATCATACAAAAGATAACCAAACTTAGAGGCAAGTAGTATCATAGCAACAACCATAGTGTAAGGCTTTTGTTATGCCTCAGGTATCGTTTGTTCTTATGCTCTTGTTCTGTGTTTGTTTTTTCATGATGCATCAGACTTATATTTAAGCCTGGAGTTCAGATTCTTGAAATCTGAGGACTGGATCCCGGGAGAAYCATGGCAGCATTTTGAACAAAAGCCAGAAAAGCAAGTATCATGAAATTTGCTATGTTAAGACTTCACTTTTATATGGTAAGCTAATTTCTTAAAAATTGAGACCTCCCATTGGCTCCCTGTGAGCAATAAAAGAACAAATGGCATTTCTTAAGACTCCAGGTTCATCAAAACACCATGAAAAAATTTTCATTCTCTGTCATGCATCATGCAATTAAAGCCATCATCTCTACAAGACAGATCTTTGGTTGCTCCTTCAAAAAGCAAAATGCTGCAGCAATGCATAAGGTTGTTTAAAGATGAAAAACACTTCACAAGCGGAAATTATCATTCCATGACYRACTTTYACGCTCTTGAAAAYACTAAAACACCAATCCAAATAATTWAAAAMCAGGTGATTTACACTGTAATCRTTAATTTGACAATTAAGTAAGCCTGATGTGCCTCCTACACAAAGAGAAAGGACGTTTATAATTTTGCTGAGTAAAACTTACAACTGATCTATGGGCATGGAAGACAGCTTTATATATAGTATGTTAAAAGCAAKGAAGCTGTCTGATTTACAGGTATAATGGATATGATTTTATTTATTTATTTATTTTTATTATGTTCCTTTTACAGAGAGGCAACTGGGTCAGATGTTCATCACACAAAAGAGGGATGCTACTCCTTTCCTGAAGGAGCAACTGAACCTGCTCAAATGAAATTTCCACAAATAGTAAATGTGGCAGGAAAGGAAAGGGACTGCAGCGAGAAGTTGTGAACCTGTAGATCAAGAACAGGCTGAGAAACTCTGGAAATAACAGGTCTCTGAAAGGGAGATGTGCCTGAGACTGCCATGCACACAAAAAATGTGACAGTTCCATGGTATGGTGAACAAAAATGTTACTGRTTTAATTCCCCATCACTAGAACTTTCCTCTAGTTCCTAGACAAGAACCAGGGCTGGGCACTGAGTTGGAAAAAAGCTTTTTGGCAAAAGAAACAGAGTATCCTCATGCAAAATCAGACATGGTTAGATGACAAGAATTCTAATTTTAAGAGGAAAGGAAACACACAGSGGCTGCTGAGCAGACAGCTTTTGACATTCAACAGAAATATTCTGTTACCATGTACCTGTCAYTATCCATCCTCATGTCCAAAGGCCCATCTTTCTGCAGGGAAAATCCTCTTTCAGGTGTATCAAACTGCATGGAGGAGCAGCCAGCATCCAGCAGAACGCCATCCAGAGTCCCTGGCTCCACCCCAGCTGAGCTTAACAGAGCCTCTGACTGGCTAAACTGTCCTAGAAGAGGATGAATCTGCTTCCTGTAAGAAAGGAATAAATAAACAGCCTCAGGTTTAATTATAGCAATGCCATCTCTCCCCCTTGCATAGCAGGAATTAGATCACTGCACTCAACTCGTCTCAGAACCAACAGGGCTATTCCCAAACTAACAGTTTATGTATTTTGGAGAAACAAGACTTGTAGGGTTTAATATTTAATGACTTGAAGATACCTTGTAGAAAGCTAAGMCAATATCAGAGACTATGAGGATGTAAAAAAGCAGAAAACACCTGTCATATTAGCCCTCATTTGTGGGTATGGGAGGTAATAGCCTGATAATTTTTCCATAAATTCCCAACTGCTACAGAYGAGCAATCTCTAACTTCTCAAAATATTCAGCATGTTCCCTCCCTCTGTATTAACCTTGACATTCTACACGAAAAAAAGTATACAAGATTTTAAAAGGACACTGGGAACATGGACAATCAGCCTATTGTAAAAAGAATAAAAAGCTATTTCAGTGGCTACATATGTTGTTGGGGCCTTAACAGATTTTCTTGTGCAACAACTTCAAAAGCTTGCAGAATTCTTGGGAAATAACACAGCTGGAAAACAATACAGAACCTTGGTTGAGGTCTTTTGTTCAGGTCATAACACAGTATTTTATTATGTTATATTATGACGCACTTGATCCACACATCTCAACTGTATGAAAGAGCAGAATGAGAAAGGGTTCAATTTCAGGCTCTACAGGTTCTTTCAGTTAATCTCTGGTATTCTAAAATGCTTTATAAAAATACTTTTTTTTTACTTTACTCAGTTGAAGGGGAGGCACACAGGAAAAAAAAAGTAAAGCATTAACACAGCTTCAACAAAATAWTTTTTTTCTCTCATCTAGTTTCTCTCCATTGTCACAGACATTGATGTGACATCAATCATCCAATTTCACAGAGATGTATAATGATGCTTTGTAACTGTATATATGTAAATATAATACTTATTCTTGATGTTTCACTATTGCTCCACTTAAAAATTCTCTGTATAAATACACTAAATTCCCTTGTCAGCAGTGAAAACTCAACCAGAACAAATGGTTTCTTCAGGACAAAAGGAAAAAAAGAAGTTTTTCAGCTAACTCTTGGCACTGCACATCAAACAAGGAGAGCAGCCCCTGCTGTAATGGGGATAGTGGTACAGACCTGGTTTGACACTGGCTCACCCCGCTGGGGTCACCCAGAGCTGTCACAGAGCTGCAGCTTTCACTCATGGCTGCACTGCTTCAGGCACACCTGGAAGCAAACTATGAAGTATTCCTGCCATAAATCCTTGGAACTTCCACTATCCTGCCTGAAAACCATTTGGAGTGTTCCTCTGCCACAGTGTAACATCCCCTTGCAAAAAAGAGTATCTGAATATTCTGTAAAAATTTTTAAACTACCTCTGTCAAATGGAAATTTGGCATGGTTTTCATGCTCACCAGGTGTGTTGGTTTKGCTTGGCCTGGTTTTTGATAGCAGGGGAAGCTGCTGAAGCTTCCCCCATGTCCAACAAAGCCAATCCTTGATGGCTCTGAAGATGGACATGGCCAAGGCTGGAGATGTTGGTAACACCTTTGTGATATCAGATTTGAGAAGAAAATCAAACTAAAGTGGGCAGTTTTTTCCAGCCAGAGAAGAGGAGGAGGTTAGAACATGTGGGAGGAACTCACCCTGCAGCAGGTTTGGGGTGATTGCTGCTCGTGGGGTTGGACCCCACTGGAGGAGTTCATGGGGAGCTGTGTCCTGTGGAAGGGACCCCATGGCACAGGGGAGCAGCTCCTCCCCCTGAACAGCAGGAGAAAACCTCGGGTGATGGACGGACCAAAACCCCCACGCCCTGTCCCCATTCACGGTCAGCGGGAAGGAGGGAGGGATTGGGGAAAAAGGTGTTTTTGAGGGCTTATTCTCCTTCTCATTATACTGATTTTGTTAGAAATAAATTCACTTTGTATCTCTGAGTTGAGCCTGTTTTTTGCCTTTGGATTGTTTTCTCCAGGTCCCTATTTCAACCCGTGAATACTTTGTTAAATTTTCTCTCCTCTCTGCACAAATATCAAACATGGTTTCCATTGAGTACCAAAGATGGTTTTCCATTCCATCCAAAGTGTCCAATTCATCATTCAAGGTCTAAGATTTTTTCACTGTAAGCAGACACAACAAAGCAAGTTTTCTTAGAGTTGATAAATCTTAGTAATTATATCTCCATTCTTTCTCTACTATCAACTTAAAAGATATCTTTTTAAAAATGCCTCTCCATTCCACAACAACCCACAAATAAATTCACACTTTCATTAAAGACACAATGGTATTTGAACTCAAAAGAAATGTTGCTCCTGGCCATTGAAGGAAGAAAATTCTCTTTAAATCAGTTGCCTAAACACAGTAGAAACACAGTAATTTCTACAAGTCTTAATTGGAATAGAGAAGTGTTAATGGCAAGACTTCATCCAGAGTGTGGAATGTCCTTATAGGAGCCATTTCTAAAAGAGAGCAACACTGAGTGGAACTGGCACAGAGCAGCTCAAACAGGATGAGTGGAAGTGAGAGGTTATGAAATGAGAGTATAAAAAAAACCTCAGACTCGTTTTGCATACAAAAAAGAAGAGCAAGAGTAGACGTCAATATTCTACAGTGAGTGTTTTAAATGCCAAGGAGAGAAAAGTGCTAATAGACATTAATAAACTATTAGTTAATTACATTCAACTAAAATTAAATTAGGTAACTGCTTTAACTGGAAATTTTTTTGAAGTTTCATATAATGAAAAATTAGACTCTGGAACAGCCAGAKCACTGCATATAGAGCTCCTAATTACTTTTAAGAGAGAGCACAGTGAAGGAGATTAAATTATGCAGGGGCTTGTAATACCATGCAGTTGGATTGGGTGATGTAGAAATCTCTCRGAGCATGTTTATATCTGAACAGCTATTGTAACTCTCCATTGAAAAGTTCACCCCGAAAATGTTTATGTAAACTTATCAAGACATATACACATTACACATTTTCCACATGTATAAACATACTCCAGCCTAAGAATAACTCACCCCTTCGGTATAAACCATTCCTTTTATTTTTAGAAACCCCTAAACTGAATGCATAAATACAACATTGGCACTGRAAAGGCTTCTTTCCCTTAATTTTTTCCCAAAGTGGTTACGGGGGAATTTTTAGGCCAACATAACACTGATATTGACTGGAAACTGCTATTTTCTGATAGAAAACGCAAAAAATAGTTCTCAGATAAAATTATTTTAGCTTTTTTTTTTGTTTTTTTTTGGTTTTTTTTTTTTAATTCAGAAGATGAGGAAGGAACTTCCAAACCCCTTTGCTGACACGAAAAGATGATTAGGACCCCAAGGTCAACAACTTTAGATCACTACTGAAAGAAAAGTTCATCATCTGCTTTTCCATAGAGAGCAATAAAATAGTCTAAAGGCATCAACTTCATGTGATACAAAAGGAGGGTCCTGCAAATCTCTAAAAAGAAACCCCAAACAAAACCCAACTTACTCCAGTGGAATTTTTAAGTATAATTCTATCCAAGTAGAATAAAGAAAAATGGGCATATATTTAAGAAGAACATTTTAACCCTGTACTCCATGGCTTGGGACCTTGTAGGCTGTATTTCTCTATGTTTATGAGCAGTTTTCCACCTGTTTTGTGTAGTAGCTGATTCCTCAATCAGACAAATACTTGCTATTATGTTATTAGCTTTGTTAAAGGCTAAGATCCTATAAGTAAAATAATTGTAGGTAATTTTCACATCAGGATGAATACTTTTTCAGGTGCTAGAAAATACACAACGTGATCTTGACAGCCTTCAGAAAACATCTACAGTCTACTGCAGCATTTATTTAAACTGAAATTTTCCAAAACTGGAATCAGACAAGAATCCAGTTGATCCAAAAATGTTCAGACTGTTATACAGAATTTTTTTTTTAAGTGCCATCATCTTACCTGGGAATCACAGAATTGGATAATAATTTGTAAAAGAGACCTCCAGGTCTCTTCTAGTCCAAAGCTCAATTAGACAGATTCCTCAAGGCCAGGTCCAGTTAAGCCTTGAATATCTCCAAAACTGTTCCACAAGTTCTCCAGGAAACCTCTTCCAGTACTACAACCTCCATGGCCATTTTTTACCTTGCACCATTTAAGTGGAATTTCCTGCCTTTTAATTCGTGTTTCAAAAACTCCAAAAGACTCCAGCTTGATGGCAGCCCTTCAGGCAGATGAAAAGCTTTAGTGCAAATTGTTCAAAAAGCTGGCAGAGGGTTTTAAACTATTTAATTCTTWAAAAATGCTACAGATCATTGATCCTGTTTTTAAAATTTTTTCCCAGTACTACTAAGCAAAGTTGAAATTTAGATATAGCGATTGTGTATTTAACCAAATTATAAAAGAGCAGTCTGACATACCCCTAAAAGATTCATTCTCAGTTGTATTTTGTCACATAGAAAGCTAAACAATTACTCCTGAATCATTTACACATTCTCTACAAACAGGCTCTTTTCCCATATCAGGCTGCTAATATATGACTTAAGAGTTTTTGATGTTGGAWCCTTGGCAGGATATAATATAATTGCTCATCGTTACCTGATGACATGAAAAATTTAAGAGTCAAGCTCTAAACACAAGCTGGGTTACATCTCAGTATTTTGCACAGTCTCAAAACAGCTGATTTTTCAATTTCTATTACGGATTTCTTTGGAAGTGCCAGTAAATTGAATTTCATTGCTCTCTGCTTGCTACAATACTTTTTACCAAAAAAATTCATTACTGAGTAGAGTAACTCTCACTGGAAGAAAGCCTCATTTTTGTTACTACACAAATATATTTGTGCTCCCATTCACAAGCTGAGCTCCTGAAATCATTATAAATACCAATACCAGCATTTCAAGTGAAAARTTGGAAAAAAATATGAAAAACTGAAAAAACTGGAAAAAAAATAACCTTTTATTTTGACTAAACATCTCTTTGCCATGGCAAATCCATGGGTAATTCATCA